ATTATTATTATCAGTGGGTTGCTGCACTTCAAACACAACACAGTAAACACTCGACCAGTTTATTCTCTTACCTTTTCTGTGTTTCTTTTCGTCAGTTGCCTTGCGGAGAAATAAGCGCCTCGACAAGCAGAAGAAACTACAGAATGTAGTTGGGAACGAGCTGAACACTATCACATCGTCCTGTCGGGCAAAAATCCTTCAGGTCCGCGCGTTTGTCAACCTTTCTGTATTTCTGCACCCGGTGCCCACGGCTAAAACAACAACACCTGGGCGTGGATGGCTGGTGCCTCTATAAATAAATCACTGATGGTCAAGTTAGTGCCCACTTCTGCCACCTTGAAAAGAGGATATGTGAGGCGTGCTGGCAAAATGAGTTACTTCTCACAATCCAAGAATGGAGATATCGTTCTGGTTTAGTTTTAGTAGAGGTTTAACGGCACAAGCTACTGCATAAGGTCGTATGAGCAGAAAATCAACATTGTGGTCAGATTTATAGTTTTCAGCTGATGCCATTTTGTTCAAGTCTACCATGTCTTTTATTATTCCATACCTACAGATTGTATTAACTCCACCTATAAATTTGATCTATCAATTTCCATAAGGCTAACATCCGAAAGAAGTAACTCATTTTGACTGCACAACTCACATATGTGGGACATGCTGACACAATGAGTTACTTCTCGCCGTCCACAAATTGAGATATCGGTGGAAAATCCTGAACGTAGTACATTAGTGGACTCAACTGATGTCATTTTCTTCAAGTTTACCATGTCTTTAATTATTTCCTACTAATAATAAATAGTAAAAACTCAGCCCATGAATTCAACCTATCTATTTCTACAGGGCTAAAATAAGAGAAGTGATTCATTTTGTCTGCACAATTACAACTCACATATACACTTTTCGTTTCACCCACTTCCTTGCATATCCAAGCGCGGAGATTTGATCTAATACATCTAAGCCTCGCACTGCCCGGATGCTCTCAACTGCCCAACGTAATGACTAAACCACCCACTTGTTGGCTGGCGATCTATCGCACAGGCTGACAAGCATTGTTCTAGGCTTTTTCTAATCACCTGCTTTTTATCTCTGTCTCCTTCGTAGAGCTTCTGAGGCTCATGGTGACCTTGACAGAGATATTTCTCATGCCTGTCAAACAATCTCAAGCTGACATAATATGTCGCCGATTTGTACTGGCTATCAAAAGAAAGGTAGGCCTACCACTTTTTGATTGGGTAAAAAAATATAGTCTTTTGAGTCTATACTATACGCTTTTCCGTTCAAGTGAGTAGTACTAAGCAATCTAAAAGGTTGGCTTAGTTAGAGAATAAATAACATGTCATTATTGTGTTGGTGCTTCAAGGAGACGTTCAAAGCAGCAACAACCAAAAAAAAAAGAAGAAAATAATTGGCTTTTTTTTCGACAACGTAGCGTATTTTTCTCTTTTAATTTTTTATTTTTTTTAATGAAGTGAAAGTCATCGTTTGTGGAAAATGGCAATAAACATTTGATAGGCGGGCAAAGAAAACGAGTTACGGTTTTTCTCATATTTTAGCCGTTTAGAAATAGATATTATGTTTAATTCATGGGTTGAGTTTTTACAATTCATTAGTCGGAAATAATAAAAGACATGGTAAACTTGAAGAAAATTACATCAGTTGAGAGTGAGAGTCTACAAATGTAGTCCGTTCATGATTTTCTGCCGACATCTCCATTTGCGGTGTGCGAGAGAGAAGTAACTCATTTTGTCAGCACGTCCCACATTTGATCATTGTCACCCATGAAAGATGGCAGGTTTACCTCGACATCAGAAAGACCGAGCCATCAGCATGCTCGGAGAGCTCCTGCTATTGTCAGGATATTCAATGTAAACAGAAAACTGACGTTGGGAATCCGGGACTGCAATAAGCCTTTGCATAATGAGTAATAGGCGCCTAATGGTTTTGCTGTTTGTCTCGCACGTGTTAGGCTCAAGTTCGATTGCCAAGCGGGTGGAGCAGATAACGATTCTATAGACCTGTCCCCGTAGTTTTATGCACCCCGCATAATTTAGCAAAATTTGATCATTTCTGATTATTTTCCTTTACCATTCTTTGTTAAAATTATCAGAATCGCATAATTTCACATTTGTGGGCTCAGTTTGCACAATTTCAGAATTTTTCTTGCTTTTATCGACGGTGACAGATTGACATTTTTCTCCTTAAACCTTCGGCTTGGGTACAGAAACCCACCTAGCCCGTAGTCACAGTGCAGCCTTGCCTTCCACATGACCCCTTTCCCAGTTGACGGGGTTGATTTTAAAGATTTAGTAAGAGTTTTACGGCACTAACAACACAATTAGGTCATAATATAGGAGCTGATTTTCAGAGAGTTACTAATGAGTAACATACAAAGGAAAGCAGGAGAGATAACGACAATAGCATAATTATTTTTCTTAGGAAAGAAGGAGGATAGAAAACGACAATAACATAATTATGTTTCAAAGGAAAGAAAGAGGAGAGATAACAAATATAGCATAACTAATCATATGTTTCAAGGAAAGTAGGAGGAGAGATAACAAATATAGCAGAATTAATCATATGTTTCATAGGAAAGTAGGAGGAGAGATAACAAATATAGCAGAATTAATCATGTGTTTCATAGGAAAGTAGGAGGAGAGATAACAAATATAGCAGAATTAATCATGTGTTTCATAGGAAAGTAGGAGGAGAGATAACAAATATAGCAGAATTA